GGCCCTGTGGAAGGGGAACGCGGTGGCGTGCCTGCGCCTCTGCCCCTGCAGCGCCGTGCAGCTCGCCGCCTACCGCAAGTAAGAGCCGGGCCGCTGCGGGCGGGGCCGGGAGCCGGGAGGCCGGACTGGGGGCTCCGCGGCCGGGAGTCGGGGCCCTGGAGTGAGGACAGCCCCCCTCCCGATCACGTGGGAGCTCCTCGGGGCGGTGGGACCGGAAGGCCACATCCACCCCCCCCACCAAAGCGCAGTCCCAAAGTTTTTCACGTATTCTTGGGATTCCCGCCCTGCCAGATGCAGTTTTGTGGCCCACAGCTCTTGTCCAGGAAGGCTTTCTGAGTTGGATGGGGTGAGGAGGTGGAATGGAGCAAAAGGAGGTTTGGGGGAACCGAATGAAGAGATCTCCAGAGAGATAAATCCTGACCGTTCCCACCATCCACCAACTTGGAAATTTACTTTGGCTGGCTTAGGAGAGAGACTCATTTGAAGGTGTGTGTCTGTTTGACCAAAGCCCCAAGAAGCAAGTCTTGCCCAGTAGAGTCCTCTTCATCTTCCCAAGGCTTGATCGGGGCACAGGGTCAGATCCGTTGCCATGAAAAGGCCGCCGATTTCTGCCCACCCATCCCATACCTCCAACCTAAATGAAGCTTGACTTTAGAGACCACCAGAAGCTGCAGCTTCCTCTCCGCCAACAGTCCCCTCAGCCTAGTGCTTTGCCCCTCGCTGCCGCCTGGCCTCATCTTTTGGGCTTTTTCCAACTTCTCTTACATCAACAGCTGCGCCTTTGGAAAAGACAATAAAGATGTAGGTGCAAGCCGGGCTTGGTGGCTCAGCCTGTAATCCCGCATCTTTGGGAGGCTGAGGTGAGTGGATGGCCTGAGCACGTGGGTTCGAGACCCGCCCGGGCAACTTGGCGAGACCTCATCTCTACAATAAATCAAAAATTAGCTGGGCGTGGTAGCACGTGTCTGTAGTTCCAGCTACTTGGAAGGCTGAGGCGGAAGGATCGCCGGAGCCCAGCAGGTCAAGGCTGCGGTGGCCGGGAGCGGCCACTGCACTCCAATCTGGGCGACAAAGTGAGACTCCAACTCAAAAAAAAAAAAAAAGATGTAGGTGCAGTCTTAAAGCTTCCACCGAGTTGAGATACTTGCATTTGAACTGGAAACCAAGCCTAAAAGAATAAATTGGTAGTGATGGCATTTCAGGAAGAGGTGTTTCTGTATTTGGGGGGGATGGTGTCTGTGTTCTTCATTCAGTGGGCACAGGGCCAACTCTGAAGACTGAAGTTGGTCTCTGTGTTCGTCATTTGGTGGCCACAGTGCCAATTCTGAATTACACAAACAGCCCACAGTCTTGAGAGCTGGTCTTGACCACATAGCTCAGCCTTGGTGGCTAACAAAGAATGTTACCTTAACACTGTCACTTGGAAGCCAGAGCTAGCAGGCTCACCTGGTGGCTGACTAGCCCAATGGAATCATCCTTATCACTGAGGCCTTTAGGCCAGAATTCATTTCACCTCCACCTGGGAGTAGCGGTCCTTTCTCTTCTTGTGGGATGAGGAGACATGCGTAGGATCAAGCAACATTTTCTGTCAAGGCTCTCTTCCCTCCCCAGCACCCCTTGCCCTGCAGTTTGTAAACAGTTCTCCTCTGAATTGTAATGACTCAATTTCTCCCCCATTTCACCCTCTGCTCCACAAAGTGGTATGGAAATCTTCCTTCGGATAGGATAGACTATGTACCGAGGGGTGGGGTGCAGAATGTCAAAAGCCCATTGACGTGTAATGGCTTTTCTGCTAACTGTCTAGTATATACACATCATTAGATTTTTACAACTCCTTCCTCCTGCCCTGTAAGGTCCATAGGTTGGAAGCAGCATGCTCATTTTACAGATGTAGAATGGGGCCCAGACTGGTGACACCATTTCAGTGACAGAGCTGAGCTCCACCACCTAGCCTTCTGACTCCAAACCTCAGGCTCTATCACATCATGCCTCCTTTCTTTCTGCATTCATTTGACATTAATTTAGTTGGGCTTTATGAAGTTCCCACTTTATGCATGATGCTGGGAATGATGAAAGGGGCATGGTTCCTGTGCCCCAGAAGCTTACAGAGTAATAGAAGAATAAGACTAGTATATCTGTAACCATAACACACAAGGTAGCGTTCCTACATAAATATGATACTCTTGGTTCATCGTTATACTGATTCATTTCTACTCTTTTCTGACCATGATTGCCATGGATAAAGTGCTCTAGAAAGTCACACTTCTGATGAGGGATGAGGAGAAGGTGTAAAGACTTCACAGAGTAGGAAAAAAAACAGTTGAGTTTGGCCTTGTGAAGATGAGGAAGAGTCTGCTGGGCAAAGATGGGGAGAAAGATACTGCAGGTCATATCAGCAAAGGCACAGGGGTGGGAAGGCAAGTGGCATGATTGGAAATATAGCCAGAAGAGCAGGTTGGAATGAGATCCTGGAGGGTGGGACTAAGGAGTTGGACTCTACTTGGTATGCAAGGGAACTGTGGGAGGTTCTTTTATGGGAGGGAGGAGTTTTGTGATTAAAGCAATTCCATGGGAATTACTAATGGCAGGACCAATTAGGAACCTGTTGCACTAGTCCACTTGACAGCTGATGGCACCTGAAATAGACTGGTGACAGTGAGAGGAGAAAAGATATGTGTGGGAGAGGAGAACAGAAAAATTATTAGCTAAGTTTGCTAATAGTTTTTTGCAGGATTATTTTCTTTCTGGAAACTAAAAGGAAGTATTTTGGTGACTGGCAAGGCATAGTTAGACAACAGGGTGGTTGATTCATCATGTTGCCATCATTCCTCCATAAATATGACACTCTTGGTTTGTCATGATACTGATTCATTTCTACTGTTTTCTGACCATGAATTTTCAAAACAGTCGGCTGAGGACAATAATATAGCCTATAATCATGTATTTGAACAAAGCATAAATATCCAGAATGTTCAGGGAATGGAGTGGTTAAATGATTTGTTCACAAACATTAATGGCAGAACTGGAACTTGAAACCAAGTTTTCTGGCTCCTTAGTCTAGGACTCTGTCCACCATTTCACAGCTGAAGTATCTGCTTACTTGGATTTATAACCAAAAGAGTTCGCTCAGTAGCATCTACTGGAAGCTAGGTTCTTGTAATAAACAAATAATACCTTGCACAATGGATGGCTTTCAGGTACATCAAATAGAAGACACCCCCCTCACTGTACTCCACAACTGTTTGTCTGTCTGCATAAACATTGGTCTGGGTCCCTGCAACTCTGAAGTTATTCATAATCAACACCATTTCCTTATTGTATAAGCACTTCGTGAGCTTGTGTCTGGCTCCATTGACTGCTAACCTGTTAGGTTGAAGTGTTGGCAGTTCTAATGACATATCCAGAGAGTGTGTAATATCTGTGCAGGCTTAAAGGAAGGAGTTACTCCAACTCACCAACTACCCAGTCTCACTGGAAGAACCTTCTGTGCATGTATGTGTCGGGGTGGGAGGAAGAGCGGAAATGGGAACACTGCTGCCCCGGCCAATCAGACAAGAGTTTAAAATGTAGGGACTGGAATGACATCATTGGTCTCCTGATTCCTATCAGGGTTGCCTGCCTTGACTGTGATTCTTTTTTTTTTTTTTTTTTTTTGGAGTCTCACTCTGTCACCCAGACTGGAGTGCAGTGACTGACTCCGGCCACCGCAGCCTCGACCTGCTGGGCTCCAGCGATCCTTCCGCCTCAGCCTTCCGAATAGCCGGAATTACAGGCACATACTACCATGCCCGACTGATTTTTTAATTTTTATTGTAGAGATGAGGGCTCACCAAGTTGCCCAGGCGGGCCTCGAACCCGCAGGCTCAGGCAGTCCACTCACCTCGGCCTCCCAAAGCGCGGGATTACAGGCTGAGCCACCGAGCCCAGCCGACTGTGATTCTAAGGGGGAATAATTGGTAGTCCTTGTCTCTATCAGAGGGTAGGAGTCTGAGGAAAAAGGGCTTCTTTTGGTTCTTTCTAATTTTGTATGTTTGGTAGTAAGACTCTATAAAACAAACTGATATAAGATAGAGTTCCTCTTTCTAGTTCGTCAAGTCATTCAGTGAACTCAGGGCCTATTTCTTCTCCAGTTGCCCCTATTTGTCATTTCCTTGTCAGGACTGTTGAACTCTCTTGTGCTCTCTGCTGGGGGCTAGCACAGGGTCTGGCACACTGTAGATGTTCAATACATGGGTAATGAAATAACTATACCCTAGAAGTGGCCAAGTGGGATGGAGAATAAGGGTGTGACAATGAGAATGAATGGTGTTTCTTTTGGCATTTCAAATTCTACCTTCTAGGTTGTTCCAGATTGCTACAGACCACCCTCCAGAAAGCATTTACACTTCCTCTGTTTCCCTTGCCCCTCCTAAGGTTCGCCTCCAACTTGTCTGACCAGGGTAGAGAGAAGGGAGGAACGAGGAAGTATGCAGGCAGCAAAACTGAGGCAAATGGTCTACTGGTGAATGCCAGCTTTATTCACCTGCATGTTTAAAAGCAGCTGGTTAACTCAAATGACCATTTCAGTTGATGCAGTTAAAGCAGACTGACAAAATGAAGTCAAGATTTCTGCGGTTTGAAGATTTTTTTTTTTTTTTTTGAGTTGGAGTCTCACTCTGTCGCCCAGACTGGAGTGCAGTGGCACACTCCCGGCCACCGCAGCCTCGACCTGCTGGGCTCCAGCGATCCTTCCGCCTCAGCCTTCCAAGTAGCTGGAACTACAGGCGCGCACTACCATGCCCGGCTAATTCTTTTTTATTTATTGTAGAGATGAGGTCTCGCCAAGTTGATGAGGTGGGTCTTGAACCTGTGGGCTCAGGCAATTCATTCACCTTGGCCTCCCAAAGCTCGGGATTACAGGCTGAGCCACCAAGCCCAACTGAAGATGTTTTTAGTCAATGAATGTTTACTTGGAAGCAGAAGAGCTGGCCTAGAAGCCCTTAAATGGTTTCACCTGGATGCCCACTCGTATTTCTCATGCAGCAGGCCCTGGCCTGCCTGCAGCTGAAGGAACAGGAAACACACCTCTTCACTGGAGGTTTGAAAGCCAGAGAGCTGGCAAGGCGCAGTGGCTCAGCCTGTAATCCCAGCATGTTGGGAGGAGGGGGCGAGAGGATTGCCTGAGCCCAGGGGTTCGAGGCCAGCCTGGGCAACTTGGTGAGATTTCATCTCTACAATAAATCACAAAAACCAGCCGGGCATGGTAACATGTGTCTGTAGTTCCAGCTACTTGGAAGGCTGAGGTGGAAGGATTGCCTGAGCCCAGCAGGTCGAGGCTGCGGTGGCCGTGAGCATGCCACTACCCTCCACCCTAGGTGACAAGAGTGAGACTCCAACTCAAAAAAAAAACAGCTTGAGCTGCTCTCATTTTTGAAAAAGGTTAATGTTTTTATTTTAGCCAAGCTCTGTTCACTTACCTTTAATTCCAGACCCTGTCTCTCTCCCTACTCCCCCCACTGCAGCAGAAAATATTTTTTCCTGGCTTCCAAGCCCTTTTGGAATTTGTCCTCATCAGCAAAAAGGAGTAAAATTCCTTTGCTTCCTGGCCAGAGGATGTGTGCTGTGTAAAAGTCCCCTTATAACGATTTCTCCCAAAGTAGGCCTCATGACTGGGGTTGTCTTGTTTCCAAAAAGAGGGATTGTAACAGAGTGGCTTTCTGTTTTGCTTTTGGGAAAGTCCACCCAAAGCTGCTTTTTGATAAAATTGTAAAACTACAGAGAAGCACAAAGAATAGTCTGGCAAAACACTCACATACTCACCATCCAGAATTTGACAGTTAACGCAAAAAAAAGCAGCCAAATACAGGAAATAAAACATTGCACATAAAGCTGAAGTCCTCTTTATTCTCATTGCCAGTTCCATCCCCTATCCACTTTCCCAGAAGTCTACTTTTATACTTTTCTTCATATGGATCTATATCTAGCCATGAATAGTATTTGCAGTTTTGCAGGTATGGTTCTAAATGAAATAGATGGTTTTCATGCACTATAGATCACTCTGAAGCTTGCTTTTTTTCATTCCATCTCATGCGTTTAGGATTTATTCATGTAGATACATAGTTCTAAGCTCATTCATTTAGTATTTATTGTAAACATTATCCATTGTATGACGATAGACAATTTATTTATTCTCTCACTGGTTGACATCTAGGTTGAGTTTTTCACACAAACAGTGCTGTCTGTATCTCCAAACATACGCATGCAAGAGTTTCTCTAGGAAGTGCTCCTAGAATTGGAATTGCTGGGGTAAAAGTAGGTGTTTTTACAGTTTTACTAGGATACTGTAAAGTGGCCATCCCAACTTATATTTCTCTTAGCAGTAGGTGAGAGTTCCTGTTTCCACAAGTCCTCACTATCACTTGATATTATCAGACTTTTAATCTCTGCTGATCTGCTGGGTGAGAAATGGTGTCTGGCTCTTGTTTTTATCTGTCATTTCTCTGATAACTAGTGAGGGAGAGCATCTTCTCTTATAATTATTCATCCAATATATATATTTGCAATTCAATTACTAGGATGTTCAAAAGTCATAATTTCCAGAAATTTCATTTCTTTTCAGTTTCAACAGAACTGAAAAAGTGCATTCCAGTTTGCTCTTTATCAAGTACACCCACAGGCAAGCAATGTTGACAGTTATGTAGATAAGAGGGGGGGAATGCTTAGAGTGAAGTGGGAGGGACTTAGGGCAGGTAGAAATAAGAAGGTTGGGCATCTCTTCCTTATCACTAACATTATATAAATATAGTAGCACTTGAATATGGTGTTCATGAATGCTAATAGAGTGCTATGGAAACTTTTCACTTTGTAAACACCTTCAAATGCTGTAAAATATTTCAAGAAGTAGTGGGGCGCACTCTAATACAAGCCACAGCTGATTCCTTTGGGCTTTTCCCATTTTCTCCTAGGTTTGTGGTGCTGTTCATGGATGACCTGGGCCACATTTCCCAGTGGAGCTCCATCATGGCTGGGAGTCTCGCAGGCATGGTTTCCACCATTGTGATGTATCCTACAGACCTCATCAAAACACGGTTGATTGTGCAGAACATGCTGGAACCATCCTACAGGGGGCTCCTCCATGCTTTTTCTACTATTTATCAACAGGAAGGGTTCCTGGCCCTTTATCGAGGGATTTCCCTCACTGTTTTAGGTAAGATGGAATGATCCACACTCCGCCCAAGAAAAGTTTGTGTTGTTTGACATATATGAATGTACTGTGTACCTTTGTGACCTGTTAAATCAGTTTTACTGAGGTCAAGGTTGTATGGATTCAATCCATCTAGAGCCAATTAGCTTCCTTCTATTCCATAGCCATATACCCCACTCCTAAGCTTTGCCAGTCACATTCCAGGGAAGGAGTTGGGGCAGAAAGTTGAGGCAGCTCAGCAAACTGGTGAAAGCGCCATCCTAAACACCCCCATCTGACTGTGGAAGGAGTCTTCAATGTGTGTATATACATGTCATGAGTGTCTGAGTGCAACTAGGATAACAACTGTATCTCCTGCAGACTTGGTACCCTTTGCCAGAGCTACACACATACAGGCCCAATTGCCAAATCCATTAGACGTTTGCCTTTATCTGACCTTTGTTGCAGCATTTGATAAGATTGATTACCCCTCCTTCTGGAATCTTGGCTTCTAGGACCCCACCATCTGCTGAGTGTCTTCCTATATCTCTGGCAACTTTTTTTACCTGACTTATCTGGCCCATCTGGGTCATCTGACATGGCCATCCCCCACATACTGCTCTTCCCTTGGGCTTCTTCCTTGGCTTTCTTTTTACTCTCCACGTTAGCTTGCTTCTCATCCTCCATCCTCTCCCTGGGTGACCTCATCTATGCTAGTGGTTTGAACATGTCTGCCAAGCTGTAATAACAATAACAGCATTTAGAGAGAGTGCTTACTGAGTGCTGGGCACTGTGTTAAATGCTTTGCATGCAGTTTCCCGTCTAGGCCTTCTTTTACAGATGAGGAAATAGGTGTTTCAAGAAGCCAAGTGACTTGCCAAAGGTCACATAGAAAGTGGAAGAACCAGGCCAGGCCCAGTGGCTCATGCCTGAAATCCCAGCACTTTAGGAGGCTGAAGTGGAAGGATTGCTTTAGCCTAGGAGTTCAAGACCAGCCTGGGCAACATAGAGAGACCTTGTCTCTGCAAAAAACAATTATTTTTAATTAGTTGGTGTGGTGGTATTCACCTGTAGTCCCAGCTACTTGGGAGGCTAAGGCAGAAGGATCACCTGAGCTCAGGAGGTCAAGGCTGCCATGAGCTAGCATCATGCCACTGCACTCCAGCCTGGGTGACAGAGTAAGACCCTGATGCAAATAAAAAAGAAAAAGTGGAGGAATCCAGCAATACCACTCTAAAGCCCTCTCTTAGCCACTGACTTATAGCAACTCCCAGTGGCAGTATGAAGACCTGCTACTGAACCCCTTCACCTCAGTGCTCCCTAGCTGTATCAAACTCCAGACTATCCCTGATGTCCTTGTTAGTTCCAACCCAGCTCTTTCTCCTGTGTCCCCTAATGAATGAGACCACCTTCCTTTCACCCCATGGCCCACGCCAGAAGAAACTGAGGAAGCACTTCAACTCCTCCTCCTCCTCCATTCCCACTTCAGTCACCAAGTCCTGTCAATTTGACCTCTTTTAACTCAAACCTAGCTCATGACCTCATCATCTTTCCTGCAGACCCTCTTGCACTCAGGCTCCTACCTGCCCCCAGTCTTGGTCTCTCCTGCCCCAGTCTGCCCTGTGCACTGCTGCCAGGTTGAGCTGATGGCTGCACGTGCATTTTTTTTTTTTTTTGAGTTGGAATTTCACTCTGTCACCCAGACTGGAGTGCAGTGGCCGCTCCTCTACCTGCTGGGCTCCAGCGATCCTTCTGCCTCAGCCTTCCAAGTAGCTGGAACTACAGGCATGCACCACCACGCCCAGCTGATTTTTGATTTATTGTAGAGATGAGATCTCGCCAAGTTGCGCAGGTGGGTCGAACCCGCGGGCTCAGGCAATCCACTCACCTCAGCCTCCCAAGGCGCTGGATTACAGGCTGAGCCACCTAGCCAGCTTGAACGTGCAATTTGATCGTTTCACTATCTTCATTTCATTGTCCTCCTTAAAAGACTTGAATGACTCCTAAACTACAGGAAATGGCCCAGATTCCTTATGGTATTCCCGATCTTTCAGACCTTGCCCCTGCCAGTGTGTCCTACCTCATCTCCTGCCACACCTCCACCTGTTCCAGTCATACAAAAAAAAAGTTTGTTTTCTAGAAATGCCACTCCCTTTCTACATGCTGTTCCCTCTGCCTTTCTATTCTCTCGAAGTCTGCTGAACTCCTACTCATTCCTCAAGACCCAGTTCAAAAGTTCTCTCTTCTGTCAAGTCCTTTCTGATTCCCCCAGGCAAAATTAATCCCTCTGATCCTTGTGTATCTGAAGCATCTTGCATGTTATATGTTATAGCACATATCAGGGATACTATAATTAGTCTTCCCTGGCTCCCCTCAGTGGTGAGCATGTCCAGGGAATTAACCTCCGCCTCTGTATTCCCAGCATCTGACACAGAACCCAGCACATAGTTTAAGCTCCCCAAATGTTTTCTGAATGAAGGTAAATGGAAGGTTGGAGAGCCATTTGTAATACATGTTTATTTTTAAATTACTACATTTTTCTAAAGAAAACCAATGCTGCTTGTGCTATCTCCTCTTTTTTTATCCTTTTTTTAGAGACAAGGTCTCACTCTGTTGCCCAGGCTGGAGTACAGTGGTGTGATCATAGGTCACTGCTGCCTTAAACTCCTGGGCTCAAGCGATCCTCCCGCCACAGACTCCCAAGTAGCTAGGACTACTGGCATGCACCACCATGCCCGGATTTTTTTTTTTTTTACTTTTATAGAGACGGGTCTCGCTATGTTGCTCAGGCTGGTCTCGAACTCCTGTGGTCAAGCAGTCTTCCTACCTTGGCCTTCCAAAGTGCTGGGATTACAGGCATGTGCCACCATGCCCAGCCTATTTTCCCTTTTAAATCTCATTTTGAGGGAGAAATTTAGTTCCTCTGTAAACTGAAGATGGCTTTCAAACTTTCTGGAAGTTTAAGAAAATACTACCTATGGTATTACTTCCTCACCATCGTAGTTCCTAAAAAGGTGAGGAAACCACACTGTGGATGGTATTCATGGGGCCTTGGTAACACCATGTCCTTCACAAAGGTGAAGCCAAGCAACTTCCCTCACCACTGAGAGTTTCTCACTTTCCAGTTCTCACAGAATATTTTTCTCTCAGCCAGCAATCACTCCTTCCTAGCCTCCAAAACTTCATTAAGTGCCACCCACCAACTTTTTTTTTTAATTGGAGTGATTTTTTTCCCAACATTTGTTTTTTAGTTCAAACACTTTAAAAAGAAATGACCGGGCTCAGTGGCTCAGCCTGTAATCCCAGCACTTTGGAAAGCCAAGGTGAGTGGATTGCCTGAGCCCGCAGGTTCAAGACCCATCCAAGCAACTTGGCGAGACCTCATCTCTACAATAAATCAAAAATTAGCTGGGCATGGTAGCGCATGCCTGTAGTTCTAGCTACTTGGAAGGCTGAGGCGGAAGGATCAACGGAGCCCAGTAGGTCAAGGCTGCGATGGCCAGGAGCATGCCACTGCACTCTAGTCTGGGCAACAGAGTGAGACTCCAACTCAAAAAAAAAGAAAAGAAGAGAAATGTAGGGCTGGGCTCAATGGCTCAGCCTGTAATCCCAGCGCTTTGGGAGGCCAAGGTGAGTGGATTGCCTGAGTCCACGGGTTCGGGACCCACCCGGGCAACTTGGCGAGACCTCATCTCTACAATAAATCAAAAATTAGCCGGGCATGGTAGTGCATGCCTGTAGTTCCAGCTACTTGGAAGGCTGAGGCGGAAGGATCGCGGGAGGCGGAAGGATCGTGGGAGCCCAGCAGGTCGAGGCTGTAGTGACCAGGAGTGGTCAATGCACTCCAGTCTGGGTGACAGAGTAATATTCCAACTCAAAAAAAAAAAAGAAAGAAATGTAAATACCCATATACCCACCATCTAGATGCTACAATTAACATTTTGCTTCGTCACTTAGCTATCCATCTATGCATCTTTCCAGCCATTCATCAGTTTATCTTTTTTTTATGATTTCAATGTAAGTTGCAAATATCAGTACACTACACCACTAAATCCTTCAACAGGTGTATCATTAAAGTTCAGTCTTTGTTTACAGTTCTTCTTTCTGTTTCTTGTTTTTGTTTTTGCTTTTGAGTTGGGGGTCTCACTCTGTCTCTCAGGCTGGAGTGTAGTGTCATGATCTTGGCTCACTGCAGCCTTGAACTCCTAGGCTCCCACCTCCGCCTTCTGAGTAGCTGGGACTACAGGCACGTGCCACCACACCCAGCTAATTTTTGGAATTTTCTGTAGAGGTGAGGTCTCACTGTTGCTTAGGCTGGTCTCAAATTCCTGGGCTCAGTCTTTCCACCTTGGCCTCCCAAAGTGCTGGATAACAGGTATAAGCCACCACGCCTGGCCTATGGTTCCTTTTTTTTTTCTAAGTTAACTTTAAGTGATTTATTTGTTAGCTTGCTTAGGATGACGGCATTTCAGAAACATGGGCTTACCCAAGATTTTTGTTTTGGTTAATGTTTAAAAATAACAACAAAAAGAAAACCCTCTGCATATGCATTTTATGTATACACACACACAAAACAAAAAATCCAGAATGGTCTCTGGACATATGAGAACACACGTTCTGATTGAATGACTATGGAAATTTCTCCCAACATTTAAAAAAGCTGTTCCCTAATGCAGAGGAAATAATACACCATGGTATCAAATGTTATTTTCTGATAAAGGAAGCAACTACAGAAAACTTTTATTTATTTGTTCGAAGTAGCCAGTGCTACTGATGCAAACCTCCCCCCAACAACGCTCCCAATACCACTTTCAAAATGAACTTATCAAACTTGATTTTCATTAGAATGCAGTTATTTTGTCGTACTAGGAAATCGAAAGCCAAGACTCAGATTTCATATATATATAAGTAAATATATATAAAAGCAAAGCTAACAATTATTGAGCTCCGTCTTCTGGAGAAGAATGCCAAGTTAGTCTCTCCTCATAAAAAGCAATTAAAATTTGAAGACATCTCATATTTGCCTCTTTTGCCAGCACCAAATCTGCCTCATCTGAATCTTTCCATTTCATGAGAAACATCCGTTCTGCACTGCTGTCTGTGGCACCAATTATTCTTTCAGGATCCGAGACCTCTGGCAAAGCCCCGTGGTTTCTCAGCAGCATCTCTTTTCTTCTTTGATTTGCTATCATCAGATTCACTGTCAGATACTTTCTTTTTGTACCATCTGTTTCTTTACCAACTTTTTGAAAATTAAGAAATGTTTCAGGCCCAACTCGGTGGCTCAGTTTGTAATCCCAGCACTTTGGGAGGCCGAGGTGAGCAGCACTTTGGATTGCCTGAGCCCCGCAGGTTCGAGACCCACCTGGACAACTTGGCAAGACCTCATCTCTACAACAAATCAAAAATTAGCTGGGCGTGGTAGTGCACTGCTATAGTTCCAGCTACTTGGAAGGCTGAGGCGGAAGAATTGCTGAAGCCCAGCAGGTCGAGGCTGCAGTGGCCAGGAGCATGCCACTGCACTGCAGTATGGGCAACAGAGACTCCAATTCAAAAAAAAAAAAAGTTAAATATAAATACCCACATATCCACCATCTAGATGCTACAATTAACATTATGCTTTGTCACTTAGCTATCCGTCTATGCATCCCTCCAGCCGTTCATCAGTCTATCTTTTTTTTATGATTTCAATGTAAGTTGCAAATATCAGTACACTACACCGCTAAACCCTTCAACAGGTATATCATTAAAAGTTCAGTCTTTGTTTATGGTTCTTCTTCTTCTTTTTGTTCTAGTTTTTGAGTTGGGGGGCTCATTCTGTCACTCAGGCTGGAGTGTAGTGTCATGATCTTGGCTCATTGTAGCCTTGAACTCCTAGCTCCCACCTCCGCCTTCTGAGTAGCTAGGACTACAGGCACGTGCCACCACACCCAGCTAATTTTTGGAATTTTCTGTAAAGGTGAGGTCTCACTATGTTGCTCAGGCTGGTCTCGAATTCCTGGACTCAGTCCTTCCATCTTGGCCTCCCAAAGTGCTGGATAACAGATATAAGCCACCATGCCTGGCCTATGGTTCCTTTTTTTTTTTTTTTTTCTAAGTTAACTTTAAGTGATTTATTTGTTAGCTTGCTTAGAATGACGGCATTTCAGAAACATGGGCTTACCCAAGATTTTTGTTTTGGTTAATGTTTAAAAATAACAGCAAAAAAGAAAACCCTCTGCATATGCATTTTATGTATACACACACACAAAACAAAACATCCAGAATGGTCTCTGGACATATGAGAACACACGTTCTGATTGAATGACTATGGAAATATCTCCCAACATTTAAAAAAGCTGTTCCCTAATGCAGAGGAAATAATACACCATGGTATCAAATGTTATTTTCTGATAAAGGAAGCAACTACAGAAAACTTTTATTTATTTGTTCGAAGTAGCCAGTGCTACTGGTGCAAACCTCCCCCCAACAACGCTCCCAATACCACTTTCAAAATGAACTTATCAAACTTGATTTTCATTAGAATGCAGTTATTTTGTCGTACTAGGAAATCGAAAGCCAAGACTCAGATTTCATATATATATAAGTAAATATATATAAAAGCAAAGCTAACAATTATTGAGCTCCGTCTTCTGGAGAAGAATGCCAAGTTAGTCTCTCCTCATAAAAAGCAATTAAAATTTGAAGACATCTCATATTTGCTTCTTTTGCCAGCACCAAATCTGCCTCATCTGAATCTTTCCATTTCATGAGAAACATCCGTTCTGCACTGCTGTCTGTGGCACCAATTATTCTTTCAGGATCCGAGACCTCTGGCAAAGCCCCGTGGTTTCTCAGCAGCATCTCTTTTCTTCTTTGATTTGCTATCATCAGATTCACTGTCAGATACTTTCTTTTTGTACCATCTGTTTCTTTACCAACTTTTTGAAAATTAAGAAATATTTCAGGCTGGGCTCCGTGGCTCAAGCCTGTAATCCCAGCACTTTGGGAGGCTGAGGCGAGTGGATTGCCTGAGCCCGTGCATTCGAGACCAACCAGGGCAACTTGGTGAGACCTCGTCTCTACAATAAAATAAAAAATAAATTAGCTGGGCACAGTAGTGTGCCTGTAATTCCAGCTCCTTGGAAGGCTAAGGTGAAGGATCACCAAAGCCCAACAGGTCGACACTGGGGTGGCCATGAGCGTGCCACTGCACTCCAGCCTGGGCGACAGAGTGAGACGCCAACTCAAAAAAAAAAAAAAAAAGGAAATGCTTGAATTAACTCTGAACAATCTAAATTTTCTTCAGGCTCCCAAGTATTGTCAGCATCTGCAAATCCCTTCCTTCCACTTAAGAAAATATTCCACTTCCCCTTTCACTACACATCAGTCCAGGACTTTTTCCACCACAAATTATTCAGGCTCTACCTCTTCAACCTTTTTACTCTTTCCATTCTGTTTCCTTCCCATCTTTTACAATGTCATTGTATTGGAGGCCATTTTTTTATTGCAGACTTCAGGAGCTATTACTTTTGGTGCAGAATTGGGCACCCAGACAACTTGCAGCGGGGAACACCCATGAACTTTCCCCTAGGCCTCCAAGCAGTCTCCATAGGATCGCAACTTGGCTGCTTCTCAGCCTCCCTCTCCCATCAGCTCCCGGAGGGACACACTGGGACGCTCCAGCCCCGCTGCGTGGCACTTCTCCCACGTCCATCCGCCCCTGCCCAGGCCCCTCCTGGCTGAGTCTCCGCTTCCTGAGGCGGAGCGCGAGCCTCGTGGTCAGTGCATCCGCGGGGAGTAACAAAGGCCGCGCGGGGTTCGAGGGCACTGTGCAGGCCGCAGCGTCAGGACAGCGGACTGCCAGGCGTGCGAGTGCAGGGAAATACGCCACCCTTCTCAGAGGCCTGAGTCGCCGACAGGTTCTTCTTTAAAGTATAATTTATGTACGGTAAAGTGGACAGATCTTTAGTGAACCATTTAATGCATTTTGACAAATGGCACAACCCCAACCAAAATATAGCACATTATCATCGCTGGAGAAAGTTTCCTCAAGTTCCTTGGGTTGGTGTTATTGTAACAAGCACAGAGCCCCCTCCTGTACTCTTCCCCAGGGTTCCTCTCGGACATCTATGTTCTCAAGCCAGTATCTTCCTGAGATATCAACAGCCTCTTCCCGGCCATGTTTTCCAGGTGCTCTCCCATTCTCTGCTGGCTCCCTTCTCGTTTACATGAACCTGGAGAAAATCTGGAATGGGCCCCGAGATCAGTTCTCTCTCCTCCAGAACTTTGCCAATGTCTGTCTGGCTGCTGCAGTGACACAGACTCTCTCCTTTCCGTTTGACACCATGAAGAGAAAGATGCAGGTGAGGAGTCATGGGTGGAGGGAATGCCTTGAAGTGTTTTTGGGTGTGTTACAACAGCAAAGAACATGGACCCCAGGTGATGCCAGGTTCTCAAGGAGCATGTGACTGCTTGTACAAATACTATGCAAACCCCCACTCTGTGGCATTTCTGCTGCTAACCACAGGGCTCTTGGCTCAAGCCCAAGCCGCCTCCTCATTCCCATACTCTGTTTTCCGTCTTTTATGAAACTGCCAAATGTGCCTCCCCCGTTTTTTTCCTGTCTTCCTGGTTCTCCTCCTCCAAGACCAGCAGGGAGTAGAATGTAAGATGCAGTCTGCTAAGGCTCCGTCTCCTTGCTGCCTCCACAGCAAAGAAACAGCACTCTGACTTTCCTCCTCACACCTGACCCCAGTGAAACAAACAGGATGGGACTAAAATAAGCGAGGTACTACAGCTCACAAAGGTCCAGTGGCCCCTGACTCCCTCCCTGAGGAAAGAACTGCTTTTAAAATGAGGTGGCTTCCAGGAGTTCGAGACCAGCCTAGGCATCATAGCGAGACCTCATCTCTACAAAGAAATTAAAAAATTAGCCAAACATGGTGGCACATGCCTGTAGTCCCAGCAACTTGGGAGGCTGAGGAGGGAGGATCGCCTGAGCCCAGGAGGTCGAGGCTGTGGTGAACTGTGATTATGTCACTGCACTCCACCCTGGGTGACAAAGTGAGACCCTGATTCTAAATTTAGCAATAAAATAAAATTGGATGGTTTCAAGGCTGCAGTGAGCTCTGATTACACCACTGCACTCCAGCCTGGGTGACAGAGTAAGACCCTGTCTCTTTTTAAAAAATGAAATAAAATGGGGTCATGTCTTAGCAGGATCGGTTGTACATTTTCCTAATGGCTACCTTGGAAGACTCACATTTTCACAGAGGCAAAAGCCTAGTATCAGAAATTCCAAAGTGAATAATCAGCTTAGCCTAGAATAAACCAATTTTGATAAAAGAAAAATCAGACTGACTCAAATAAGGTTGAGGATTAAAGTCACATCTGTACAGTGGGACCAGAATTCCAGCAGGGATGAGGCTTTGCATTTTCCCTTAACCCTGCTCACAACCCTAAAATTCCACTTCCATAGACTTGCCTGCCTCTCTGAGCAAGCCCTGATTTTTACAAGAGATGTACAGTAAGTCCTCTACATACAACTCTTCAAGTTAAGAACTTTAATGATGTACACCTGTGCTTTTTTATGTATTATTTCTCTCTGCCAGGTGTCAGTATAGCCTGTTAAATACATACAGTACTCTATAATTGATTGTTTTAGTTGGGTACCTAGGCTAACTTTGTTGAACTTACAACAAATGGACTCATGAACATGCTTTTGGAACCCAACTTATTCATATGTTGAGGACTTCCTATATTCCTGAAGAATTGTATGGAAATTAGTTTGGGGTCCACTGAATTCGATTTTAAATGATCAGTCCCAGCTGAGTTTGGTTTCCCAATGACTTTAACTCCTCTGTCTGCTTTCTCAATACAGGCAACATAGTGAAACCGTGTCTCTACAAAAAAATTAGCTGTGGTATTCTTGGTTGCTCTGGGCCATCTCTTACCCCAGCACTAAAAAGCTTGAAGGTACTTATCAAAGCTGCCTTCATACAAATACCATAATTGTACTCAACACTGCCACTCCAGTCCTTGAAACTTCATCTGTTTGGGTTGTGTTCCTTTCCTGTCCTTGTCTAAACAGATAAATAATTTTTACATTATCATAATGATAGTGTAGGTGTAAATTTAGAGTCTGCTTAGTGCATGCTCATTCATTTTTTAAAATTATTTCTAATTTTTAAAATAATACACATATACATTTTTAAGTAAAATGGTTAATCTTATGTATGTTTCACCAGTTTTTAAAAAAATGTAGTACATATAGCTTGTAGAAAATGTGGGAGATACAGAAAAGTACAAAAAAGAAAACAATAAATGACCCATAAGCCCACCAATATGCATGGATTAAAATGATTTTTTGTTTCTGTTTTTGTTTTTTTTTTAGTCAGGGTCTTACTCTTTTGCCCAGGCTGGAGTGCAGTGGCATGATCACGGCTCACCACAGCCTTGACCTTCTGGGCTCAGGTGATCCTTCCACCTCAGCTTCCTGAGTAGCTGGAAATACAGGCACATGCCACCACGCCCAGCGAATTTTTTGTAGAGACACAGTTTCACTATGTTGCCTGAACTGGTCTCGAACTTCTAGGCTCAAGCAAGCCTCCCATCTTGGCCTCCCAAAGTGCTGAGATTACAGGCATGAGCCACTGTGCCCTGCCTGGATAATAAAGATTAACAGTTTTACTTCTATGTATGTCTATATGTGGATGTATGTTATATAAATATATATTTATAAGCATATATATATGGTTATTTCTTTTTACAAAGTTGTGTTCATACTTTATATAAAAATTAATAAGCTGCTTTTCTCATTTATTATATAATGGGTTTTCCTCCAGGCCATTAAGTCTTTAATTATCAAATATATTCCACCATATGGATGTGCCAGAAATATTTAACAGTTTCTCATTTTTGAACATTTAGGCTTTTTCTAATTCTTAAATATAATAGCATAGAAATGAAAATCCTTGTATTGAGATTGGCAGTAGAAGGACACTGCCCAGGGGGGTGGGAAGGCACACAACATCAATAAAGTTACCTGAGCCGGGCTCAGTGGTTCAGCCTGTAATCCCACGCCTTAGGAGGCTGAGGTGAGTAGATTGCCTGAGCCCGCGGGTTCGAGACCCACCTGGGCAACTTGGCGAGACCTCATCTCTACAATAAATCAAAAAATTAACCAGGCGTGGTAGTGCGTGCCTGTGGTTCTAGCTACTTGGAAGGCTGAGGTGGAAGGATCGCCAGAGCCCAGCAGGTCAAGGCTGCGGTGACTGGTGGCGGCCACTGCACTCCAGTCTGGGCGACAGAGTGAGACTCCAACTCAAAAAAATAAATAAATAAAAATAAGAGTACCTGATCACAAACCAGGCAAAGTGGGGACCAAAGGGAGGCCCAAACTTTACCTGTACAATGGCAACTTGTATACCTAATCCTGAACTGTATTTTCCACATCTTTGATGACATCCCTAGGCTATATTCCTAGAAGTAACTTGCAGATCATAACGTGAATAATTCTAGGACTCAATAAAATTTGCTCTCCAGAAAGGTTATAAGTTTACACTTGCACTAGCAGTAAGGGAGAGTGTTTCATCTTCTAAACCCTCAACATTAATTGAAGTTTATTGTTACTTTCTAAATCATTGTGAACCAAATAGATTAAAAAATGGTATCACATTGTTTTGATTTGAATTTTTTAAAAATTTGTATTTTAGATTCTGGAGAGTACACACACATATTCAATACATGGATGTATTGTGTAGTGATAGGGGTTGGGTCTCAGGTGGTCCATTCCCCAGATAGTGAACATTGTGCCTCGTAGGTAATTTCTGAACCCTTATCCCTCCCCCCTATTGCGTGTCCCCAGTGTCTATTATTTTCATCCTTGTGACTTTTTTTTTTTTTGAGTTGGAGTCTCACTCTGTCACCCAGACTGGAGTGCAGTGGCCACTCCCGGCCATTGCAGCCTCAACCTGCTGGGCTCCGGCGATCCTTCCACCTCAGCCTTCC